GACTTTGCTTTTCACATGGCATATGGTTGGGAGTTGTGACTGAGGGAACACTTGCCTAGCATGCACAAGGTCCTGGGTTTGATGCCCAGCACTGAAAACCAAATAAAAACAAACATACAAAAATACAGTTCATAATTGGGCATGATGGTGCATGCCTTTAATCACAGCACTCAGGGGGCAGAGGCAGGATGAGCTCTGTGAGATCAAGGCCAGCCTGGTCAAGTTCCAGGCCAGCTGGAGCTACAGGGAGACCCTGTCACAAAAAACAAAAATACAATTCAAATAAATTACAAGGGAGTCCCTTTGCATGCTACAAAACATCCTGTGGATACCAGATGAATCAAACCCGTTCTCTGTGTGCCCATCATTGGGTGAAGCTCAGAGCTGTGGGAAGTGTGAGAAATGGAGGTACCTGTGGTGTCGACCTCTCTCTCCAGTACCCCAACTCAGGGAAGGCCTTCTCTGAAATCCAGACATTTCAGGCCCCTGGCCCACACAGGCAGCTGGCATTGCCTGGCTCTGTCACCTGGGCTTGTAGATGGACAGGTCGCAAGCATCAGCACCCAGGTTCCAGTATTGCTGTATGTCACCCCAGGGGCCTGTCGTCCCCACACAGCCTCAGTGAGGATGCTGCCCCCATGGCAGCTGTGTCCAGCAGACTGACTCAGAGCTGGGCTGCCATACAATGGCAGGGATCCCCTCAGACTGCTTCATGTAGACCCCGCTCTTGGGTTCTGGGTGGCTTGGGTGAAGCTCTGCGCAGATGAACACACACAAGACAGATTCCTGTTCCCTCTGGCCACAGTGCTGTCCTTCAGGACCCTCTGGTGGGGCCCTGAGAGGAGTCCAGTATGATCTGTAGCTGGTCCTGCCAGGTCTCAGGATAGGCTTGTTTAGAGGCTGGAAATAGCTACTCAATGACACTTTCAGGTGGGCAAAAGCTGCCTTATAGGGGCAGAAGGATGGGCACCTCTTTCAAGTCCTGTGGCACCGTCAGACAGCCATGAACTGTGGAGCCCCTCATCTGCAAAGGCCAAGACTTGCGTGAGAAGCTGTTATGGGAGTGAGATAACATTAAGGGGACAGAGTTCTAGAACTTGTACGTTGCTTCCATGAACATTCCTAGCTCAGTCTGCGGGGGTGACCACCCCCTCCATGGCTGCTGGAGAGACCGACGGGGATGTAGTAGAGCACAGAGCAGAGAGGGGAAGTGAAGCCCCAGGGGAAATGCTGTGGAGGGCATGGGGGCACTAAGTGCTGGGGACCACCAGGGCTGTCTGCGCCTGGGCACAGATATGGCTAGGGGTATGCCAAGGGACTGAGAGCCAAGGGCTGTGCGTGGGTCCCTCCATTTCAGATGTCTAGGCTGTGCCTGAGGGTGTGGAAAGAACAAATGTGCAAGGAGGAACCTTTCCAGGCTGTGGGTGGAGAAAGACCTTGGGCTGGTCAAGGTAGCTAAGATCTTTGGGCAAGATAGCAGAGAACTGGGGCCTTGCTGGGTGGGTTCTTGAGGAGGCCACCAGGCTCATGCCTCTGCTTACGTCCCCTCCCTGCCAGGTGCACCTGATGAAACCAGATGCCGTCCCCAAGGCGTGCTGTGCACCCACCAAGCTGAGTGCTACCTCTGTGCTCTACTATGACAGCAGCAACAACGTCATCCTACGCAAGCACCGCAACATGGTGGTCAAGGCCTGTGGCTGCCACTGAAACCCTGGCCACCCATCTGGCCAGGCCCATTGCCAGAGGCAGGAAACCCTCACTATCTGTCGTAGCTCAGGCATGGGCACTGGAAAGCCTTTACTTCCTCTGGCACATCCTGCTAAACTTTTTGTCCTTTCCCTAGCCCCCCATCCCCCATCCCCCACCTCCCGCCTTGGGATTCGTGGCCTATTGCCTTCCCCAAACCCCACCCCAAGCACAGGGCAGCTCAGAGCTGACTAAGTTGGCTGGGATAGCACTGAAATTCTATATGAGGGCCTGAATTGCTAAAGAATGGCTCAGAATGGTCTAAGAAGGCCCTGGAGTCTAAAACTGGCCAACCTGGCTCTTCAGCAGTCACTATGGGGGTCAGGACATTTCTGGACATAACCACACACGTCTTCAGAATGGTGTGTTACTGCACTCTTCAAATGCAGGGTCAGCTTGTTAGAAAAAGAACAATCTGGCTGGGTATGGTGGCACATGCCTTTAAGCCCAACACTTGGGAGGCAGAGGCAGAGGAATCTATGGGAGAGCGAGGTCAGCCTGGTCTACACAGTGAGTTCTAGGCTAGCTGAGGCTAGAGGGAGACTCCATCTCAAAAAGACCAAAAAACAAAAAGAAAGAAAGAAAAAAATAAATAAAAATAACAGTGTCTCACAACCTATGGTGAGGCTGGGAGGGACATTTTATGGCATGCATCCTGGACCTGCTCTTCTGGAGACGACCGTGACCCGCAGAGAAGCAAAGAACCTTGGGAGTTTCAAGTTCCTCCACCATTATTACCATGCTGACTCTTTGGGGCAGGACCCTGAGGTAAAGTAAACTCTTAGCAGGAGCAAGAGCAACAGCAGCAGTGACTGGTCCAAGCTGGCACACTGTATGTAACCACTTCATCCTGTCAACCATGACCTGCACCAGTGATCTCCCTAGGGTACACCTTGTGCTGCACCTGGACAGGCCTCTACATCCCCAGTACAGACCTGCAGACAGTCACCATCAGCCACTCAGGGGAAAGGATTTGGCTTTGCTCTTGCTCTCTGAGGAGACATCATCCCACCCAGGGCACGGAGACTGGACAGCCCTCTGGCCAGGTGTTGGGCAAAGGGAAGGAGTGTCAGCATTTGCTTATGTCTGGGAACTAAGAACAGATTGGTCACCAAGTTGGCGTCACCCTGGGGGCCCAGCAGCCCCATCTTCTTTCTGGGGCCTGTGAGTCAAAGAAAAGGCCCCTGTCCCAGGGGACTGACAGGTGGTAATTAGGCTGAGTTGGGTGGGGAGGTTTGTCCCAGCTTCCCTTTCCCGGAAACCACTGTTCTTCTTGGAGCAGCTGCTGGGAGCCAGAGTGTTTATTTGATTTCTGACTTGCTAAGCCTATAATTTACCTGCGGGAACAGAGTCTGACTGCCCAAACTGTGTCATTAAGAGCAGGTCCTGGGCCCATCCCCAGCTAGGGACACACCCAGCAGAGGTGGACCCACCCAGGTGCTCAGAGATGCACTTTTCTGGAGTTCACACTCTGTATCCTTGGGTGGGCCACAGGGAGGGCAGGCCTGGCAACAGGAGCCATGCTTCAAGACAGCAATCCCACTGCCTCAACCTGGGAGGGTTTCCTGTGTGAGCCCAGAGGAAGAGACCCTTCCAAGAACACAAAGAATGGGCCCAGACTGTCTGGAATGTAATGAGTTCCCCCAAGAGCCTCAAGCTTCAAACAAAGGCTGACAGAGATTGCACAAGACAAGAGCCTGAATGTCAAGGAAGTTGACTTGCTTAGTATCTGAAAAAGTCACCTTTCTTATCAAAGCTTACGTCTCTTGTCTGTGACATGAACACACAGGTCTTGTCAGTTGGCTTTTTGTTATTTACCCTAGACAATCAATTTAAAGCAGAAAAAGGTTTATTTTGTCTCACAGTTTCAGAGGTTTCTGTATGTGGCTAGTTGGTCCCACTGCTTTTCACTGGTGGTAAGGTAGAATATCCTCACATAGAGCAAAACAGGACAAAGCCACTCATCTCATGGTGGACAGGAAGCTGAAGAGAGGAAGAAGAGCAGCCTGAGTCCCAGGTTCTCCTTCAAGGATACTCCCCCAATGACCAGAAGCCCTCCAGCCCACATCTCCCACCAGCACCAAGCCAGGGACTAAGCTTTGCGTATATGGGCCATTGGGGGCCCAGATCTAAACTAAAGCAGTGTTCTTTCATCGCAAAAGCCTTCCAGCCAGTTCTGCCTGCCTCCTGGCCCTCTCCTCTCCAACTCAAGTGCCATGAGACTCACAGCATAACCCAGAAAATTTCTCTTCCCAGCACATCACCGGGCTTGGTCAGGGGTGCCAGGAATGTGTGCGAAATGAGGGTGCCAAGTAGGGGCACAAGAGCCCATGGTTGTTACCCACAGCAAAGCAGATATACTGTGGCCTCCCAGGGCCCAGACGTCTGGCACCTGTAGCCAGCCAGGCAGCTACTGGATGACACCAAATGGAAAGATCTTAGAGGTGCTTATGGACATACAAGGCCCTGAGGTGTCAGTGTTTTTACCAAGGCCATCTGGTTCTCTGGTTGCCTCTGGCCACCCAAAATACACATTAGAAGCAAAAATGACAGTTGCTGAAGGACCCTGAGATCAGTAAGCACCACAGAGGACATGAAGGCATGTCTGAGTGTGGGACCACTCCAAATGGGACAGAGCCCATGGACGTCTTTACAGCTGCAGAACATACCTGGATGACAGCTGGATACAGAACACTTGATGCAGAGCAGTGGGAAATGCCCCATGGAGAAACTCCCTGCAGTTCCACAGGAAAGAGGCAGAGAGCACAGGTTTGGAGTTGTGCAGAATAAACCTGGCATCAAGTCATGGCTCTGGCTTTGTGACTCTGACCCCCTGCCCAGCCCTCTGCACTGACCCTATAGAATAAGTGCTGGCTTCGACCTGCCCTTGTAAGGCACCCCCAGGCCCAGATGTGCTCATAGAGCACTCAGCACCTACCTGCCCACAGAGGTGTATGAAGTAGATGCTATCTCATTTTAAATAGACTTGGCAGTTTGGGCCCCAGCCCTCTTTCCTAGCAATACCATCTCCCAGAGTGTGCCCTGCACAACTGCTGTACTGATCTCAAAAAAAAAAAAAAAATCTCTCAGGGATGGCCCTGCACCTTGCCTGCCTATAAAATGGGCCAAACCACAGGCACAGCACTGGGGTCTCTGTTAAGAAGGTAGCAGGTGTGGCCTTCAGGAGTGGCCCTCCTGTGTCCTGAAAGTGGATATGTGCCCTCATGTGTCTAAGGGGACTTTCAAAGTTTCTCCTTGAAGATGCCTGAAATTTGACCTTTAAAAAAATATTCAGCCAGGCGTGGTGGTGCACGCATTTAATCCCAGCACTCAGGAGACAGAGGCAGGTGGATCTCTGTGAGTTTGAGGCTAGCCTGGTCTCCGTAGCGAATCCAGGCCCGCTAGGGCTACAGGGAGTCCCTGTCTCAAAAAGACCCAAAAAAATGTTTAGAATTAAAGGTGCTAGGAAGATGGTTCAGTGGTTAAGAGCACTTGCTACTCTTGCAGAGGACCCAGGTTTGGTTCTCAGCACCCACATGGCTCACAACCTTCTGTAACTAGTTCCAGGGGATCCAACACCTTCTGACCTCTACGGGCATTGCATGCCTGTGGTACACTTACATACATGCAAGCAAAATACTCATAAAATAATAAAAGCTTTTAAAAATCACATACATCGCATAGACACAGACACAAGATTAATTTATTGATTAAAGAATAGACTCCAAATCCCATAATCCTGCCACCTAGATATCCAGAGTTAATAACTCAGTCTCTTCTTAGTGCATTTACACACACACAAATACACACACACGGGTAGCTTACAAAGTTCGGATCATACTGTATACTGCTTGGTGATCTGATTTATTCAATATATAGTAGACTTTGAAATTTTCTGGTATTAAATATTTTTTGAAAACATAACTTGTACCTGCATGCAGTCCATGCCTTGATCTGTGCCTCTTCTTGCACACAGAACAGGCTGCTCAAAGGGCAGCAGTGACCTGGGCCCACTGGGCATGGTCAAAGCCTACGACCAGGAGCTCTCTCTCCCTCTGTGCCACGCCTGGCACAGTAGGCTTCTACTGAGGTGACAAGAGAAGGGAAGCCCCTTGCCTCACCTCTGAGGCTCAGGTGACCTCAAAGTACAAGGGAAGCAGGTGGGCCAGTGGAATAACCTCTGAGGAAGGTACCTGGTGGCCCCGTTCTGTTGGTCTCACTTTCTCAGGACAATCAGGGAAGTTCAGAAGATCAGTCCTATCTTCCCACCCCATTTTCATCTTTGTTTCACAGAGTTGTGCCATCACTTGTCCCAGGGGCCTCAGTCTAGCCTGCTCCACCTCCCCACATGCCCCCCTGGAGTCAGCCATTGATGAGCCCTTCACTCGATTCATATTCTCTCACAATAGCCCTCCGTAGCCAGCATTATTACCTGGACGCCTGCTGCCTGTCCTGACCACTATGACTAATTACCAGTAAGAGGGATGCTGTCTTAAGGAGCCAGGTCCCTGCTGGGCTCTAAACCAGTGGAGATGGCCCATGCCAACCAAAGGAGGGAAGAGCCCTATCTGAACGCAGAAAGTCAAGCTAGCCCTAAGGGCCTGTAGCCATCAGGGCTGAGGCCAGGCTTCTTCCCCTCCCCTGTGGGTTTATCCTGACCGTGACCCCAAAGAAGAACATAGCCTGAGGGCCAGAGAGATGGCTCAGTGGTTAAGAGGATGTGCCGCTCCTCCAGAGGTACCCACATGACAGCTCACAACCGCCCGTAACTCCACTTCCAGGGGATCGGATTCTCTTTTCTTGTCTCCACAGGCTTCGGGAGGAAGCACTAGAGGAAGCTAGGGAGCATGGGCTTAGCCTCAACACACTGGAGATGCCACGAGGGGCCTGGCTGGACAAGAACAAATAGGAGTGAGGCCAGCCTACCCCAGGTTGCCATTTCCTGGCAGAACTTGGGAGGTACAACATAAGAGCCAGCTCTGGCTTGTGTATTCCTCCCTGTCACCAAATTGAGTTTGGTAGGGAAGGGGCTTCGATGCTGTGTGGGAGAAGAGTTCTGACACTGGTTCCATGGGTGAAGGAGGAGAGGATGGGTTAGTGAACCTGTCTGGTAGCAGGAGAACACAGAGGCATTTCTGCCCAGCTTTGACTTCAGACCCCCCTGCACTGAGGCCACATGGGTGTCTCTCCCAGGGCCTTGGTCTCAGGAGGGAAGCTGGAGGAAGACGCTGTAGTCCGTCCCAGCTGCCGCCTCTGGGACCTAGTCAGTGGTCAGTTACAAAAACCAGGGTTTATTTTAGAAAATAAAAATAAAAGTTGTCTATGGGGCTAGAGAGATGTCTCAGTGGTTAAGAGTACTTGCTGTTCTTACAGAGGACCTGGGATGGGTTCCCAGTACTCACATCAGGTGACTCACAACCACTGAAATCTCAATTCCAGAGATTCCAACACCTTCTGGACTCTGTAGGGATCTACATCCATGTGGTCCACATACAGATGATCAGGCACACACACACATTTTTTTTTTAAAGGTGGTGGGGGGACTAGAGAGATGGCTCAGTGGTTAAGACCACTGACTTGTGCTTGCAGAGGGAACCTGTGTTCAGTTCCCAGTACCCATATGGTGACTAATGACAATATGAAACTTCAGTTCTAAGGGATTCAATGCCCTTTTCTGGCCTCTGTGGGCATTGCACACATGAGATGCTTACATTCATGTGGGTATAACATTCATACACATAAAATAAAAATAACTAAACTAAAACAGACTGCCCAGGAACCACAGATGCCCAAGACAGGCTGTGGCAGCCCATGCCTGGGAGAGCCAGTGGCTAGCTGCAGCTGCCCATGGTGGTAAGAAGGGCACCTGTCCCTCCCAGGTCCCAGCTGCTCCCGAGAAAGAGCCCAGAGCAAGGCCGACCAGGGCATGCTGTAGAGGAGCTGTTGCTGAGGAAGCTGACCCTGAGGAAAGGTCCGGGCCACTCACGCTTGCTTCACAGGACACCCCCTGCTGGTGCTCCAGAGGCCACCACCTCTTTCCTCGACTCAGGGTCAAAAGCAGAGGGGAGCAGAGAGCACAGTCTCCCCCGCATCCATCAGCAACGGTTGCCTTTTGCTTTGCCTTCCTTTCCTTGCTGCTCTCGGCCTTTTCAGGCAGAGCAGAGAGGTCAAGGAGCAAAGAGAAGGAGAGGGTGAGGGGCCTGAAGAAAAACTCAGGAATACCCATTGTTCTAGCCTTCCTTCGATTGCTGTGACAAAGCTCTCTGACCAATACCAGCTTGGGGAGGAAAGGGTTTGTTTGGCTTACACCTCCCAGGTCACAGTTCATCACCTTCATCACCGAGGGAGCCCAAGGTAGGAACTCAGGGCAGGAACCTGGAGGCAGGAGCTGGAACACAGGCCGTGGAGAAACGGCTGCTGACTGGCTTGCTCCCCTGACCCGTGCTCAACCTTCTTTCTTTTTTAAAAAATATTTTATTTTATGTGTATGAGTGTATTTTCTACATGTGTGTAAGTGTACCGTGTCGGGAAATGCCCACAGGGTGGGCATTTCAGAAGAAAGTGTCAAATTCCCCCAGGAACTGAGGCTATAGATGGTTGTAAGCTGCCATTTAAGTGCTGGGAATTGAACTCTGGTCCTCTGCAAGAGCAGTCGGTGCTCTTAATCACTTCAACCTGCTTTTGTATACAATACAGGACCACCTTCCCAGGGTTGGCACCACCCACAGTGGGCTGGGCCCTCCCGCATCACTCAACAATCAAGAAGATGCCCCACAAACGTGGCCACAGGCCAGTTTAAGGGAGGCAATTCCCCAGTTGAGGTTCCCTCTACCCAGGTGTGTCAAAGTGACAACTAATGCTATCCAGCCCAGCCATCCCACCTGTAATCAGAGGAGAGGCAGGCCCTGCCATGGCCACAGAGTGCCCTGGCCAGATTCTTCACAAGGCTTTGAACCAGGGTCAGGGTGAGAATGGAGAAACAAGCTCCAACTGTTGCAAGGCATCCAGGCCTTCAGTGACCTTCCCAAGTACCACGCACTTGCTATCGAGCCAATCTGCCTTGTCACAAGTCAGGAAGAACTGGGAGTCACTGGTGTTTGGGCCAAGTTGGCCATGGAAAGGGGGTCTGGGAGAAACGAGCTCACCAGCATCCCGCCCCCAGCTCCCAGCCATAACAGCATGTCTGTGAGGGTTGTCGACAGCCCTCCTGCAGGCTGGCTCAGGCTCTGGGATACATGAACCTCACAGGTGTGGCACTTTGTCTAGTGAGGCAGGATGAGTAAGACTGTTTTGATCTTTTCATACTGGTTTTTCTTCTCATTCATTCAGCAAATACTGTCTATGTGGTAGTGAGGCTCCTGTTGATCCCTGGCGATGTTGGTTCCAACCCCAGGGAAGCTCATAATCAAGTGGAAAAGATTCACTCATAAGATGACTTGGGGGCTGGAGAGATGGCTTTGTGGTTAAGAGCACTGGTTGCTCTTATAGAGGACCGGGGTTCGATTCCTAGCACCCACATGGTGGCTAACAACCATACATAACTCCAGTTCAGGGGATCTGACACCTTCTGACATCCACAGTCATTGCACTACATGGGTACACTTACATACATGCAGGCAATCCACACATACACATAAAAATAAAATATATTTTTTTAGGGGCTGGGTGTGGTGGTACACGCCTTTAATCCTGGCACTTGGGAGGCAGAAGCAGGCAGATCTCTGTGAGTTCAAGGCCAGCCTGGTCTACATAGTTCCAGGAGAGCTGGGGCTACAGGGAGACCCTGTCTCAAAAAGACCAAAAAAATAAAATAAAAAATAAATAAAATAAGATATATTTTTTTAAAAGATGGCTTGGTAGATAAGAGTGCCTGCACTGCAAGGATAAGGATCAGAGTTT